ATTTTGTGGTGGTGGTTTCAAATTCATTGGCGAGGGCATGATTGCACGTGAGGTAGATTAGCAACTGGCCATATGACGTCAACAATTTTATCTCGTATTGTGTCAGACTGGCGAGATAAAACTCGCATTGGGTATAAAATTTATTCCTCACTGTTGTCTTCTTCTGTTCCACTGACCTTAACAAATTAATTTGTCTCGGCAAATACATTCTTCATCAGTCATTTCCTGCATCATCAAAATCAATAAACAACCTTTCTCATCAACATCATCAGTTTAATCAAATAAACTTTGCCTCGAAAAAACTTATCCACCACATGAAAATATGTCCTAAATGCAACTAAAATGCTATGTCAATGGCTTTTAGATAATCAATAACTTAACTAAAAACACCTAAAATATAGTCTTTTTATAGAGTTATCAGTATTACGCTTAATATGATTACACTCGATGTAACCTACTCCTACGAGTGTGGTTTTAGGTATCCATGGTCATTTATGCCCCTCAAAAACTAAGTCATACTATTACGGATCATCCTTAGATCTTATAGATCTTAAACGGGTCAAAAGAACATTCAACAACACTTAGTACCTTTAATGAATGCAAATCCATCCTTTTCCATTAAGCAAAACAGAGAAGGGATCGATCTTTTCTTTCGAGGGATCGATCTTTTCCCACGAGGGATCGATCCTTTTTAAAGGGATTGATTCTTTGCTGGACAGAAACTTTAGGATCGATCCCTTTGGTCGAAGGATCGATCCTGGAGGTGAATGACTGACTATCCCATCGGCCTACAAAAACTGGGAAAACTCATAAAACCCAGATATCGCTGAGTGTGAAAACTGTACAGGAGGTGTCTGTGCTGCGGCCATGGGTGATGAGGCTGAACCCGCTAAATATCTAGCATATGAACCCCAAGTCAGATCTGCAAACATAGACCCATAATAGCCTCCAAGAGGGGTCATCTGTGACGGCGGCGGTGGCATCGGGTAAGGGAATGGCGGCGGCGACATCTGATAATGGAAAGGCAGTGGCGACATCATATATGGCTGTGGTGGCTGCTGTGAAGGTCCTGCTAGTGCAGCTGAGAATGAACCGGAAGCACCTACTCTCCGTCCACGAGTCGGGGGATGATGGTGCTGTGTCAGTGAACGTCTCTGTCGACGTCACGTAAAGGTTTTCCCTCGTGCATCATTGGGAAACATAAACATTTTTCTGTTACTGTTGAACCACTTGTAATAACCGTCAGCAACCATCAAGAGGTCATAAAAAATGGGCTCTCTACGGGGAAGGCGCCGATGTCGATCCTCCCACAACACGACCCACGTATGATGCCTCACCAGCCAATCTGTATCTGTTTTGCCGTGTCTATCTGTGCTATGCAACTCGTCCATATTGCGAGGTGCTTCTGGAATTGGTTGAAAACGAGCAAATTGCCGGAGCACGCGATCAGTGGAGTGCCACTCGACGGTCGTATAACAGATCAAGGGGACCATCACCATCCAAACATCTGATGAGCCCCTCAACTCAGGTGGGATCACCGCCCTCACATCATCAGTAGAATATGATACCCATTCAAACTAAAACAAATATATATAATTTTTATCAAAATAATAATCTAATTATATAACTATAATCTAAAATCGATTTTAAACATTAAAATTCATACATGTGTGCCAGTCTGCTGATCGATGAGCACCCTAATTTTTTTTCTAAATCATCAGTTAGCTCCTAATGATTTTTCCTATCAGTAGACCACCTATTCGAGGGAAAAAATTATTATACGTTGTATAAAATGATTAATATACGAAATCAGTTTTACAATTACCTCAATAGTAGTGGAAATACGAATGGGTTCTTGACAACGGGACATAAAAAGGGCAATCGATACCATGCCCAAGACTGTAGCAGCATGAGACATCCACCGATAGCATTACGCCTGTAGTCAGTGTGGCTGGACACATCTCTCTGTACAGGAAAGCCAAAACTGTCGAGCCCCAATTGAGTGATCCGGCCAGATGAAAGTCACCAAGGTATCGCAACCACATACAGTGAACTTGGTTGCGCGATTTGTCCGACATCAATAACCCTTCTATCAGCTGCAGTATGCATGCCCGTGCATACATTTTAACTTCTTCCTCGCTCAAATCACGAAAATTGATATCTAACCAATTTAACGGTATCCGACCATCGTTAAATTTTTCGGGACACGTCCTAGATTATCCTGACACAAAGCAGTCCAGGAACCATGCACGATCCCCGATATCACATATCCATCCACTGAAAGCCCCAGGTGCATAGAATCATCCTCAAGTGTAATCGTGCACTATCCGCACGGAAGATGGAATGTGTGGGTCTCCGACCTCCACCACTCTACTAAGGCATAAATAAGGTCTGGCTCTATCTTATAGTGACCCTGATATCTACCTATGTAACCGAATCCAGCCTCTACTAAATACGGTAAGACCCGGCTAGGTATCACTAACTTAAGATTCCTAATAAAAGGATATAATACACGGTCCTTCTCCTAAAATTAAATAATTACAAAAATTAATTCTTAATCTAATAATCATGCATTAAATAAATCAAGAAATTATTACTAATAATTTAAATTAAATTAAAACGTTAAAATGTTACCGTATCAGCAAAGTGTCGAGATATATAATTTGCATCCAAGCGAAGTAGATCGTCTGTCATTTTATATCTGCAAAAAAGTTAAATAAGTAAAATATTAAATAAATTAAATACTTAAATAAATTAAATATAAAATATTAAAAATATAATAAAATATACCTTAGAAGAGATTATAAGAGTATTTGAGAGAAGTTGAGAGAATTTGGTGTGATGAAAGTGATTGAGGATGGAGGTATTTATAGGGAGGTTTAGGGGTATTGAAGTCGGGGTAGTTGTGTAATTACACCTAAGGCGCGCCGCAGGGGGCGCGCCTTCCTGACGCGTGTCAGATTCACAGGGAAGGCGCGCCCCTGCCCCGCGCTTTATCCATGCAGCATAAGGCGCGCTTCAGGGGGCGTGCCTTACCCCACGTGGCGCCAAATCAACATATAACGCAGTGCAGGGGGCGCGCTTTACTGCTAAGGGTGTTAGATCGGGAAATATAGTCTGGCCGGTGTTAAATCGGTAAATATACCGATCACCGATGATTTTTCGAGAAAAACGCCAATTTAATCAATGATGCTCAGAAGATAGGAAACTCGTCTTAGTTAATGTTTAGATATGTTTATGATAGGGTAAATTACCTGAGGTAACTTAATTATGAGTTTAGTAATAATTGGATCACTATTATTTTCTAAAAGTTATTAATAAATCACTCATTTAAATTATTATTACAAACTGATCACTTCGTCGTTAAATATTAGATAAACTCGCGAGTGATCTGGTATAATAAAAGTTTGTCCTTAAAATTTATTTAATTTTTCAATTTGATTCATATTTGGAACAATTCACTAAATTTAACTCTTTATATTTAAAAATTTCATCATTTTAGTCTTTATTCTTTTCTTAAATTACTTGTTCTTCTCCTATAAATATTGTATTACTTTTTTTTTATAACAACAACCATAAATATTGTATTACTTTTAATTTATAGTAACAACTTAACGATAATTTATTGCGACTTTATGACAAAATGTAATTATGTAATTACTACTTTGATTTGATAGATTGTACTATCATACACAAAACTAAATTGATCAAGCTTTTAAATATGAAGAGTTAAATTTATTGAACTAAGATAAAATTGATAGAATATATAAATTTTGATAATAAAAATTTATTATACCAAAACACGTTAGATATCCATTTCAATTTTAACGACAAAGTGATATACTTGTAAAAATATATAACAATATTTTAATTGAGTGACATATTTGTAACTTTTTTAAAATGATTGGATTATTTTTAAACATATAATTAAATGATTTTGGGTAAAATTTACCCTTTAAAGTATCATGTAAGATTTAATTTAGATTCCATTTCAATTAGGTCTTTTGATTAGATGTGACAATTAAACTATTAGTCCCTACTAGGACTATAAATGAGTCGTGTCAAGCTCGAATATTACTAAGTTTAGCTCAATTCAAAATCGAGCTCGATTCAACTTAAAAACTCACGAGTTTAAAACTTTTAAACTCGACTTGAACTCGAAACCATAAATTGAAGCTCAAAATAAAAAAAATCTTAAAATTAACTTGATTGAAGCCTCAAACTCGAACTTGTAACTTAAAAACGTGAAAACCTTATACTACATTTAAAAAATTAACACGCAAATGTTAATATTATTAATAATTTTAAAAAAAAAAAAATCTTAATATATCATATTTTCGAGTTGCTAGCGAGCTTTTCAAGTTAAGCTCGTTTCGACTTGTTAAGAACTCAAGTCGATATCGATTTGATTCCATTTGAGTCAAATATTTATCGGACTTTCACCGAGTCGATCTCGAGTCGAGTATTTATCGAGCTTCAACTGAATCGATTTCTAGTGGTTCATGATCTGTCTCGTCTCATTTACAACCCTAGTCCCTACGAAGTACTAACAATTAATAATTCATTTAAACATTTTGAATATTTTTTTCAAATGGAAAATTATATTTTTTGATCTCTTAAAAACTAATCTTTGTTCAAAGAGAATAAAGAACTTTTGTTGAAAAAATAAAAAATAAAAGGACTGGACAGGCGGAAACGGTTGCTGTCTCAATTATTCAATATTTAGTTTACAAAAACACCCTTGTGATGCAAACTATATTACGGTCATGTCCATAACGGCTAGTTTTAGAACCTGTAACAAATTTAAAACAATCGGCTCAGGGGAACGGCTTCCAATGAACAAAAGAGACAATACTAAGTGCCAAACTCACTCTTCCGGCTAGTTTTTGCTCCTCTTCATCGGATCTTAGATCTACGGCAACTGAAAAATGGACGAATTTCAGATCAAAGATGCCGTCGGCGAAGAAGTAATTGGCGACGATTTCTACTAGGAGATTGAAGCTCCGAAGTTCGTGGACTTCTCCGCACCTGATCGTTGCCACACCGAACACAATGATCGTTATTGGTTCTTCCTCCGTGTCGGTGAGTTTTGTGTTTGATTGAAGCTATAATCGATTTTTAAATAAGATAAAGCTTGAATTTTTATTTCGGTTTAATAACTTTTGGATGAAACAAAACAACTGTTCGTTGTTATGTCCCAATGATTGTTTGTTCTTCAGGATGTGATCAAAAGCATGAAGAAGAAATGGACTCTGACGCAATTTATAATAATTTTGTACTTAGGGTTAGTACAAACTTTGCCCCCATTTCCCCCCTTCAAGTGCATAACATCTTCTCATATTTTCAAGTGATTGCTGAACTTAAACAGTTGAATGTTTCAGGTTATGGCAGCTAGGAGTCCAAGTGTTGGGCTTCGAGAAGCTCTTTGCAAAAGAGACTCGAGGTAAATTCATGGAAATCTTTTTCTGTTTTTCTTCATTGAGACTTACGTTTTTGATTTCTTCATTGATTTTTTTATTGTGATTTTAGGTCAAAATTGGAATGCCCCGTACAGTTCTTGCTAAGTCTTAGAAGTATAGTGTCAAAATTGGCTATGATTTCATCCATTACACAAAAGATGGGGGAAGCCAAAGTGAAAGTTAGACATGTTCCTAAGCAGTTTTCAACTACCCCAAATGTGAAGGCTGCAAAGCATTCATCTACTAAGGCCTTGACTACACTGAGGAACCGAAAAGGGATCTTGAATCCCAGTACTTTTCGAAGTGTTCGGAACCCGAAACCAACTACAATTGAGGTACCAAAGGATAGAGTGGTGGCAAAGACTTTATTGTTTCACTCTCCAAAGAAGGTAGTGAAGTTGAAGAAGTCTGTAGAATGGAATAGTTCGTTAAGGAAGGCATGCGCAGGGATGAAGAAGCTTGAGATTAATAATGGAAGTAAGAAGAATGCATTGGGATGTAATAATAGACCTTTAGATGTTCCAAGGAAACAGTTGAGAGTGAGAGAGGTTAAAAGCCGAGTGTATGATTCTTTGCATTGCCAGAAGAAGAAGAATGAAGAAGCTAAATCTGTAAAACCTTTGGAGAAAAACAACATCAACAAAGACTTGCTGTCGTCCGAGGCTCCTATGCATAGAAGAACAGATGAAAAGACTCAGTTGAGAGAGTCCTTCAGATAGCTTGAAGCAAGCAGGTAGCGAGAATACCAAAATTTCATCTCCCACTAGGAGTAAGATGGCCTCCATTTCAGAGTCTGAAGGGGACAATGAAATGCTTTGGCATCTAACATCCGAGTAAGTGAAAACAATAAGGAAAATACAACAGCTTCTGATGAAAATAGGCATGAAATTCATGACTTGTTTCCCCCCATGATTTTGTCTATTATTATTCACTTGCATTCACTATTGAATTTTCACTACAATTAATTGCAGACAATTGAATTGTGCTAAGGACAAGCCGGTGAAAAAGGATGTTCCTGGGAGGCACGAGACTTCTAAAAGCATTCAGAAGGTAGCTTATTAAATAGTCATTTTCTTTGTTTGTGTAATGTCTGTTTCTTGACAGTTTGTGTATCGCCATTTTGTTGCGGAATACGACTATCGGATAGAGCAAAATCACAATTAATAATTTGAGAAAATAAAAATAAAGATAAAGAATACACAAAATTTACGTGGAAAACCCCTAAATAATATAGGCTAAAAACCACGGGAAAAGGTAGAAGAATTTCACTATGAGAAAATAGGAATTTTAACTTCTCTCGATCTAACAAGGGGAAAACAATGACAATTCTCTCTTGATAAAAATGAGAAAACAACTCTCAAGAAACTCTCTAAATTCTCTAGTATTGGGAGAAAACTAGAATGATTTGAGATGATTTTGAAGTTAAATGGGTTAGGGTATTTATAGTTGAAGCTTAAGGACTAATTTTATAAATATTCTAAAGTATAAGGACTAAATATTCAATTTTCCCATCCTACATTTTTCAACATTATTGTTGCCAACTTGGTAAATCATTGTTGCCAACTATACAACCATTATTATTGCCAATTTTCAACCACCAAAAGTTTGACCATTAATTTCAACAAGTTGGCCACTTGATGACCACTTACTTTACAACAATTAATGGCCACTTACTTTACAACAATCTCCCACTTGAAGATTTGATTGAAACAATTATATATTCACACCATTCTTTCTACATTGTACTATTTATGTTGCTTACATTTCTGATAGGCTACAAGAGGATTAACACCAAGTAAATTTATCAGCATTGATCGCCTTCGTCATGAAATCTGCTATGTTGTCTTTGGTATGGATTTTCTGCATATCTACCGTCCTTTCTTCCACCTTTTCACGAATAAAATGGTACTAAACTCGTATGTGTTTTTTCCTTGAATGAAATGCTGGATTCCTTACTAGATGCAAGGCGCTTTGACTGTCATAAAACATAGAGATATACTCTTGATTGTGCTCAAGCTCCTCCAATAGCATATTCAACCAAATTTCTTTTTTACTAGCTTGTCTAGCTGCTACATATTCTGTCTCTGTTGTGGATGTAGCCACAACTGACTGTAATTTTGAAACCCAGCTTACAGCTCCACCAGTAACTTTGAACACGTATCTTGTAGTAGATTTACTTTTATCTAAATCCCCTGCATAGTTAGAATCGACATACCCATTGATTAGTAAGTTTGATCCTCTGTAACATAATGCAACATTTGAGGTCCCTTTGATATATCTCAAAATCCTCTTTACTGTATTCCAATGCTCTTTGCCTGGATTCGCCATGGACCGACTAACCACTCACATTGCTTGTGCAATATCTGGTCTTGTGCATATCATAGCGAACATTAAGCTTCCCACTGCTGATGTATACGACACTCGAGACATCTCCATCCTCTCTTCTTCACTGCTAGGACTCATACCGGAGGATAATTTGAAGTTAATAGGAATAGGAGTAGAAATTAACTTACAATCTTGCATGTTGAATCGTGACAAGATCTTCTTCAAGTAATTCTTTTGTGAAATCCAAATCTTCCTATTACTTCTGTCTCGATGAATTTGCATCCCCAGAATCTTGTTTGCTGATCCCAAGTCCTTTATTTCAAATTTCCTAGCTAGTTGTGCCTTCAATTCTTCAATATGATATTTGTTGGGTCCTGCAACCAACATGTCATCCACATACAACAACAATATAATAAAATCGTTATCATCAAACCTCTTGAAATAAGTACAAGGGTTTGCATTAAGTCTGTTGTATCCAAGGCACATAATGAAGGAATCAAATCTCTTATACCAATACCTTGGCACCTGCTTTAGATCGTACATAGATTTTTTCAACCTGCAAATCAAGTTATTCTTTTCTTTTTCTTCAAAACCTTCAGGCTGGAGCATGTAAATATATTCTTCAAGATTTCCATGAAGAAAGACTGTTTTAACATCTAACTGCTCTAGATGTAAGTTCAATGTAGCACACATTGCCAAGACTACTCGAACTGTTGTTAGTCTAACCACAGGAGAAAAGACTTCGTTGAAATCAATACCTTCTTTTTGAGCATATCCTTTGACCACCAGTCTTGCACGATACCTCTCCACTTGATCATTACCATTTCGCTTGATTTTGAATACCCATTTGTTACCAATTGGCTTCTTTCCTTGTGGTAGTGGCACAAGGTCCCATGTATTATTTTTATGAATGGCTTCAATTTCTTCTTGCATCGCCATCATCCATAGTGAAGCATCTGAGTTGTTTATTGTTTCTTGGAATGTTGATGGCTCATCGTCCTCTGTTAAAAGGCAATATGCAATATTTCCTTCTATAACATAATATGAGTGCCAACTGAGACGTCTTCTCACACGATCTGATTGATGAGTTGTTGGAGCTTTAGAACTCTCTGGTTCTTGTTAATCATGTGCTAGTTGCTTCAGAATAATCTCCTTGTTCAAACTCCTTTTCCACATGTATTTGTTTAGTCTCTGATTTTTCATCTCTATCATCGTCTTCTTTTCTTTGTAGTTTATCTTCTACAAAGATAACATCCCTGCTGATGATCACTTTGCGGGCAGTAGGATCCCACAAGCCATACCCCTTTACATCATCAGCATACCCCAATAATTTGTATTTTATGGATCCAGCTTTGGAATTTCTTGGGAGTTGTACATCACGTACACAATACTTCCAAATACATGGAGGTTTGAATAATCAGCTGGTTTACCAGTCCACATCTCCATTGGTGTCTTCAGCTCTATTGCAGTTGATGGAGCTCCATTCACCAAATAACAGGCGGTATTGACTGCTTCTGCCCAAAATGATTTTTCTAGGCCTGCATCCCTCAACATTGCTATTGTTCTTTCTAACAAGGTTTTGTTCATTCGCTCTGCCACTCCATTTTGTTGAAGAGTGTTCGTCACTGTGAACTGTCTTTTGATGCTTCTTTCCTACAAAAGTCATCAGATTTTTCACTTGTGTATTCTCCCCCATTATTTGTTCTGAAACACTTGATCTTATTTCCAGAATCAAGTTCCACCCGCGCTTTAAAGTTTTTGAAAATTGAAAACATGTTTGACTTCTTCTTAACAGGGTACACCCAACATCTCCTGGAGTAGTCATCAATAAATGAGACAAAGTAATTTTCTCCGCCTAGGGATGTAACTGGTGCTTTCCATATGTCAGAATGAACCAATTCTAGAACATTTTTGCCTTTAGAATTGGACGTGTTTAATTTTAACCGGTGATGCTTATTTGTTATACAATGCTTACACAAAGTAAGTGATACATTTGTTAAGCCTGGAAGTAGTTTTTGCTCCACAAGGACTTTCATTCATTGTTCTGACATGTGTCAAAGTTTCTGATGCCATAGTATTGTAGAATCTGAACTACATGAGGCAACAGAGGCTTCTGCTTCTAGCAAAGTCTCCCCCTTCAGCATGTACAAGTTTGTAGCTATCTTTTCGCCTATCATCACCACAAGCGCTCCATGAAACACCTTCATGATTCCTTTCCGTGTTTCAATCTTGCTTTCATTATTATCCAACAACCCGTAGGATAATAAATTTTTCTTCAGGCCTTTCACATGCCGCACATCTCGAACAACTTTAATTGTTCCATCATACATCTTTAATTTGATGGTTCCAACTCCAACGATCTCTAAGGCATGATCATTGTAACTATACACAGATCCTCCTGAGATAGGTTCATAATGATGGAACCATTCTCTTCTTGAGGTCATGTGATATGTTGCTCCTGAATTAATGAGCCATATATCTGCAAATCTCTTTCTTATTTCCACGGTGGTTGACGCTTCACAACATAGAGCATCCATCATCTGAAGTGTTTGCGGTATTGCCTTGTGGATTGGAGTTTTACCTAGACTCCAATCCTTCCTTCAAGTGAACATTCTTCCACATTATAGCACTTTAAATTCTTCTTGCTTCTCGACTTTGATCTACCATGTTTGTGACTGCTACTTTGACCACGTTCTGTTGATCTCCCTCTCATCGTGGTCAACGCTTCTGCTTGTTGCAGATTTACTTATCTGTCTTCCTTGTTTTTGCGTCGATTTTTTCTTGTAAAACAACAGCTGCAACGTCATCAAAGACTATACTGGTGATATTACTGTTTGTTAAGTTGATGATGAGTTGATCATACGAATCAGGTAAACTTTGAAGTAGAAGTTCAGCACGTTCTAGTTCTCCTATTGTACATTTTAATGATGTAAGCTGAGAAAATAAAGTGTTCAGTGTGTTTAAGTACTTCGTCACTGAAGTATATTCTGGCATCCGGAGAGTGTACAATTTCTTCTTAAGGAAAATTTTATTGTGCAACGATGTGGCATCGTACAATTTGGTGAGATGATCTCACATCTCCTTAGCTGTCTTTTTCTCCTCGATGCTTGACAATATTTCATCTGCTAATGCTAGATGAAAGTTTGCCATAACATTCTCGTTCATTTAGATGCATTTGTTGTCATCTGTGAAATCTACCGACCTTTCACTGATAGTTGCTAAACAACCGTCTTTCCTCAGGATGACCTTCATCTTTAATTTCCACAATGAAAAATTTCTCCCATTGAATTTTTCAATATCAAATTTCGTTGTTATAGCTTCTATTACAGATAGCTCCCATTATTTCACTATCGTGAATAGTTCTTTGGAACCTTCAAAGAATGGGTAATACTTTCTTACTTTCTTATGTTGGAGGATCTACCTATTGGTGGCAACCACAAAGACAATAAATAGATATTACATACTCTAATATGACTCTTGATACCAATTGTTGCGGAATACGACTATCGGATATAGCAAAATCACAACTGATAATTTGAGAAAATAAAAATAAAGATAAAGAAGACACAAAATTTACGTGGAAAACCCCTAAATAATATAGGATAAAAACCTCGAGCAAAGGTAGAAGAATTTCACCATGAGAAAATAGGAATTACAACTTCTCTCGATCTAACAAGGAGAAAACAAAGACAATTATCTCTTGATAAAAAGGAGAAAACAACTCTAAAAAAAACTCTCTAAATTCTCTAGTAATGGGAGAAAGCTAGAATGATTTGGGATAATTTTGAAGCTAAATGTGTTAGGGTATTTACAGTTGAAGCTTAAAGATTAATCTTATAAATATCCTAAAGTATAATGACTAAATATGCAATTTTCCCATCCTACTTTTTTCAACATTATTATTGCCAACTTGGTGAATCATTGTTGCCAACTATACAACCATTATTGTTACCAACTTTCAACCACCAAATGTTTGGCCATTAATTTTAATAAGTTGGCCATTTGATGACTACTTACTTTACAACAATTAATGGTCACTTACTTTACAACACATTTGACTTTATAATGTTCTTGATTATGCAGGGTACTAAAGTAATGAATAGGACAATGAAAGAAAACTCCACAACAGATAAAGGTGCTACAGGGATGAAGCACAGAAAACCAAAGCTTACAAATCCCAAGCCTTTTCGTCTTAGAACTGATGTATGTATTGTTTATGGAGTAGATACTATTGAAATGATGAAAAGAGGTTTAAAATTCTTCCATGTTATCTGATATTTTTCTTGCTGTTCAGGAAAGAGGAACCTTAAAGGAAGCAAATTTGGAGAAGAAGAATCTTCAAGCACCATTGAAAGAAACATCCACCTTTCCAGGATCCCAAGGTGGAAATTCATTGAGGAAACATCAGAATGTCGAATTGAGTGCTTTGAGCTTAGACTCATATACCATGTAATCATAGCCCTGGACTAATAGGTTTCCCCCCTTGATTACAGATAAATGAGAACAGTGACAATGGACCAGATACAATACACTTCAAGATCAACTGGTAAGTTGATTTTCTCTTTACTTTCCATATCTGTTCATTGCTCATCTAGGGATTTGATGAGTAATCTATTACTTGTAGCAAACCATCAAGACCACATCCACCTTTCCAGGATCCCAAGGTGGAAATTCATTGAGGAAACATCAGAATGTCGAATTGAGTGCTTTGAGCTTAGACTCATATACCATGTAATCATAGCCCTGGACTAATAGGTTTCCCCCCTTGATTACAGATAAATGAGAACAGTGACAATGGACCAGATACAATAACACTTCAAGATCAACTGGTAAGTTGATTTTCTCTTTACTTTCCATATCTGTTCATTGCTCATCTAGGGAATTTGATGAGTAATCTATTACTTTGTAGCAAACCATCAAGACCACTAGCTTGAAGAAACCACAAGGGTTGGTGAAAACAAAGATTTCTTATGGTACTCCACAAAAACGTATTGTTCCTATGCATCAGAAAATGACATTTCCATCACTGATGGAAAAAGGCCAAGACAAGGCAGCTCAAAAATCCGAGGGCAGATTAGCGAAAACTAAATCACCAAACAACTAGGGAGACTACGAGGGTAATTAGCAATCCAGAGACACCCTTTGCTTTGTCATCAATGAAGATTAATCTGATTGCTCTGTAAAGTTATAAATCATATTCCCAATTCTTACAGGGTAGCATCAAGTAGGAAGAAGCCTGCTCAAATCAGTGCAATAAAGGAAAATGCCCAGATCATAATGAGAAAGGAACTTTGTTAGCAAAGAAGGCGTCATCTCAGTGAAGAAAGCATCATTCCAAAAGAGCCAAACATTCACAGCCTTCATGCGCCGAAAAGCTGCCAAAGAAGAGAGTAGCATAATGCACGTGTATCATAATCGTTTCGATCATTAGCCACCCTTTTTCTTTAAACATTTTTTATTTGCTTGCTTGAATTAATTTAATAGCATTATTGAGGGAATTCCAAGTTCCTTTCTAAGTTATTGTATTTAAGCTGTAACATTTGTGCCACAAGAATGATATATGATGAATTCATTTACAAGATGCAAAGTTTCAAGATTTTGTTTGAATTCATTTATAAGTGTATTTTTAGGGTAAAATGTGCAATCCTCTTGGTTTTTGTCACAAAATTACCTTAAACCGAGAAAGCAGAGTCTTTGCCCATCAAATTAAGTAGAGTTTTTACTCCTTGGAAGCTTTGAAGCCGAAGAACCTTTACATGAATTCGTGTAAACCCTATTTTGCAGCTAAAGCTACCTTATCAAACCGTGGTGATTGTTTTTGGTACTCTTAATGCTGCTGCTGCCAGAATTGGTGTCGTGCTCGAATAGTACAGATGACCAGTCGAGGAGACTCGAATTTGTCTTGTTATACACAGAGAAAGTTCTATGCCACAATAACAACAGAAGAGTGAATGTGTACGCTATATGTTCGTGCGCATACACAAGAAAATCTTAAGCATATATATTCTTGGTTCATGGTCTGTGATTGGTTCTGTTTCTTTTTTGTATTGCAGAAGAATGAGCATCCAAAACAATGAGTTCATCTGTTGAACTCGTCCTTGACAGCAACAGAAAGTACCATGTGCTGCATACTTGAGAATTACTGGAAAGAAGATGGTTTTCCATGTGGTGAGTGTGAATCAAGGCCTTTTAACATGCAAGTGTTGATTCAAAAATGATGAAATTTCTTCCAACGAATTGGGAAATCGAATCGTTTCGAATAAAATAATTCTAAAATCATATTCAATTTAAACATAACAAGCTAAATAGATAAATATAGAGAAAATAGACTTAGACTAATAAAAGAAATCTCAAGTTCCTAGTAGCTACCAACAATGAAACATATGAAGCATATGATATAATATAATATGAGATGGTATATGTTTGCATTTAAGCAAGTGATGCCTTGTCCAAACACAATTGACAGGAGGCTCTATCAATATTGAAGCCCTCCGGTGATCTTCGTCTTTTGGATACAAATAAGCATATAAATGATGATGATGTTGATCATTTGATGATGATGATTCTCCCAATGGTCTAGAACTTGATAAGGATGTAAGACCAGTGCGTACCATCTCTTCGAAGTCCGAATTCTCAACCCAACATTTGGCTGAGAGATCAAACTTCATAACTATTTGGTGCCTATGCGGTAGACATGGATACCTAAGACCGGCTGTCAGTTCGCCAGAAACTTCAATGTGATACTCATGGTATGGGACTCGCCAGCATTTCGCAAGCAATCTCCATTTTCGACTATCGACGTCGAATACACCTAGTGCGCCACCTGAAAAAAGACAGTAGAAACAGCCGTTTAAATAGGTCTAACTCAATGCGGAGCCATACCAACTTTTATTTGGATGACGCTCTACGAGGTAGTACGTCGTCCAACTCTGATCACCCGGTCGACATGTACAAATACCAATAGTATCGTTAAATCTATAGAAACTGAAAACAAGGCAATCTGAACTTGTTGAACTCATGTTAAACGTGGCCGTCAAGTCAAATTCATAGATTGGGAAACCAAACTCGAGTGTCGGTAGCTCAAGAACCTCCTTGGTGAAGGGAGAGTACAAGAAGAAGACACGTCTGATACAAAAGTTATACTTTGGTTGGTTTCGAAAAAGAGCCCAGCCGTATCGACTAGACTGATATTGAGCTGAATCGAAAATAATCCGATCTTCTCTCTTAACGCCTTTGTAGATGTATACCTCTTTGTCCAACAAGGTGTCCTTAAGCTTACATGTACCGATCACTCTCTTCCGATCTATCCGCTCCCATTGGAATGTCATTAGCCATGCTTTGTAAATGGTGGGGATCCCATCAGGTTTTTAAATAGCGTTTACGGTTACGTTTTCTGTCGCGTCGTGTTTATTACAGTTGCGGACATAACGGATGTTATTGCGGTCATTACGGGAATCGCGGTCGTGAATTTTTTTAAATGTCGCACAACAACTTACCCTAAAATGATTAAATTAAATATAATTAAAATAAAATTTTAAAATTTAAATTACAGAAATTTAGATTACTGAAATTAAAACTAAATTAAATACAAATTAAAATTTACATTTACATTTTAAACTAGGGATTAAATTATAAATTCTAAAAGTAGAAGAGATGTCAAATTAATATATCCTTTAAAATTATATTTTAAAATAAAGCAACCCCTCCCCGACCTTTCTGCCTCCCCCCTCGATTTCATTGTCTAAAACAAAAAACAAATTATGCTTTCATTCTCAACTCTCCCTTTCTCCTCACCCCGACCTTTCATTTTTTTGAAAAACAAAATTACGATTGGAAATTGGAATAACGCATATAGCGTCCCGTGATCGGCACAATTCACCGTTATCCGTTAAATTACAGACGTGATATATCGCTATTGGTGTGAATCTATCATTCACCGCAAAAATCATGAAAATCAATTTCGTATGACGGCACTACTGTAATATCATAGCCGCTATCGCCTTTTCGGTCCGCAATTTCAAACCCAGGATCCCATCAAGGGATACGTTCCACCAATCCTTGCAAGCTTCACGTATTCGGATTTGATGCGACCAATAAAATTTACCCAGTATGCACTTCAGTATATCACTGGGAAGCTTAGACCAATCTCTCTCTTCATTCTTATTTTGCAAACCACATTTTTATCTTCCTTTTCTCCCTCCGCCATCACCACCGGTCCACCACCACTCCTTCATGAGATATATATAATCTATTTTAGGGTTTATGTTACTTATTAACCCAATTTTTTATTATTAAAGATTAAGTTAAATTTTATTATAATTATTGATTTTATTTATTTACAAATTATTATAAAATAAAAGTTCTTTATAATTAAATATTTAACTTTATAGATAAAAATATTTTTTAACTTTTAAAATGATCGTAGAAAATTATTTTTGAGAGATATAATTTCTTAGGTAATCTTCACAATTTGTGAAACATACATTGAAAAGATCAGAAATATTAAGAGTGTGATTTAAAATACTTTAAATCTAATTTTAGTATAAATATTTAATTTTTTAAAAAATAAGACATCTTGTATCTTTCGTAATTTTTATATTTATAATAAATTATTATTTTTTTCATACGTAAAAATTAATAAAATTAAATAACATTAAATATTACGTCTACTGGATTACATTAAACTTTATTTTTTATTAATCTTATATTAATTACTTTTTACTTATAAATTCTTAACATTAAATTAGTTGCTTATATATATATATATATATATTATTTTAATTATTTTTTCACTTACAAATTCTTAACATTAAATTCGTTACTTGTTATGCAGTGAGCTCTCCATCACTAAGGCCTCTCATTTAAAGATAGTATATTTAGAAAAGAAATCTAAACTTATTAGGAACAAATATATATGAGGAAGTCTCACCAGCGGCAATCTAATATATGGCTAAAGAAAAAACTACTGAAAATGTTATTATTTTTTTAATATTTCGGTAAAAAATTATCTAAAACATTATTATTTCTTTCGAAAATATTATTGTTAGGCGTTTTACCGAATTTAATAATATATCCGATAAAATATTACCTAAAACATTATTTTTTATAAGAAATGTTAATATTATGCATTTTACAGGAAATGTTAAAAAATATTTATGTTTTATGTAAAAAAAATATTTTAGGTAATTTTTACTAGAAATATTAAAAAATAATAACATTTCTGATAACGTCTTTCTTTAACTGTATATTAAAGTTTTCGTACGTAGAATTATATATATATATATATATATATATATATATATATATATATATATAAACAATTTTTAATACTTTTTCAGTCCTTGAGAAGTTCTGAATTTGGGAAGGGTACAATGTTAAAACTTGAAAGTCCTGTTTTTTATATGTAAGAACCAAATTGACATAGTAATCACAAAAGTTGACAATTACAAAGTATATGTGATAAAGAGACAGTGGTTTAAGCAAAGAATATACAAACTTGGAATCAAATACTCTGACCCAAAGTGATAGTCATCATCTTTATTCTCTACCACCATGTGTGTTCAAGTGCTTCAAGGAGCCTGCTTTCCAAAGCAGAATCAGAAGAGGACGAATGATGAACCTCCATGTTAGGCTGTTTGCTCTTAGACCCAGATTTTGTTCGAAGCAGAAAGCTTTTTCCCAGTGCCATCCACTTGGAAGCAGAGACCTTAACCTCCAATGGCGGTGGAGCAGTTTCACCCACATGGGGCAGAATCAACATTGCAGCAGTAGGCGCCATTATCAGAGATGAACTTCAAACAATTAATCAAATGAAATGAGCATGTTTAATTAATCCACAGTCAGGTGTTTTATACAGAGGGAACATCAACAGGTTTTAGGGGAAAACCAGGGAAGAACAGTCTGGTTTTTCACTTGGTTTGTTTCGGATAATTTAGTGATGAGCTCGGCTTTCAAGAACGAACATGTCGGCGGGGCTGACTTTATACAATTAAAAGGGTGAATTGTAAGATCAAGCACTTTTATTTTAATTTTATTATACTTTTCTCACTAATCTAAAAAATATATATTATTAAATATAATATTTGATTATTTTTATTTAATAATCAAAATTATAATGATTAAATATTTAAAATTTAATTAATTAACATCTCAATTTAATAAAAATGAATACAATTATATAAAAATATATAAACTTAAATAAAAATTAACTATCATATAGTTTACCCGATTAATAAACAATGAGCGTGAAACAAGATTATGGGACAGTGAAACATTGGTTTTATTAAAGTCACCACAAAGCGTGAGACACGTGCTGGCTTTCGCCTGACTACAAATGGATGAGATCAAAATTCAATGAGATCAAAATTCAAGCTTTAACCCTAAAATCAATCACCAATCCCATCTGTTTTACTGACTTACGAGATGAAGAAGAAAAAATGGCATCAAAACATATAAATAGAGAATATTCTAAAAATCTTAAAATATATTTAAATTATTTTAATTCATATTATTTTTCAGAATATTTTGATTTTAAAATAAATTTTTTATATGTTGACACTCATTTTTGTCCGAAACTATATGATTTTTTTATATTTATAGTATATAGAA